TACAGTGTGTGTGTGTGTGTGTGTGTGTGTGTGTGTGTGTGTGTGCGCTCGCGCGCACGTGTATGTGTCTGTGTGTATGCGTGCGTGTGCGTGCGTGTGTGTATGTGTGCGCGCGACTCACGATGCCCTGATCTACAATCATGACAAGCACGTCATTGTAGACTGCTTCGGTTGAGTTTGCGTCTTCGCCAACACCATGCCTATTGCTATGTACCTAAACTACCATCATAGTGCTTGTTGCGCCTGCAGTTTGCACTGCAGGGCTGATTCGGCCTTCCTTGAACCTAAGCCCGGGTTCAAAGTTCACCAAAGTTCAGTGGTCCTGGTACATGGTAGGTCTACATACATGCATGCACACGGTGTCCCGGCCTACAAACTACAAGCTACAATGTATAATTGTAGACTACATTGTAGTCCGTGAAAGCATGGCAAATCCACTCCTATTCGCTAGTTTCAGCTTTATGAATCCTCTCTTTGCTTTATCACTACAACAATGTATAATATCAGCAGGACTGACATGGGCCTTCACTGAGGTACACGCAATCCACTGCTGCTGCAGTTTGATGGAACATGTAGAGTCTACCATGTACCAGAGCCGTGTATCTTATTGCTAGTGAAGAGTCTTGTAACTCGCCTCGTATCGATGACTTTTCAGTTTTCAATAGCGCTCGCTCGGTGTCGGGTGCGGAAGGGTTGAATAGAAGGAAAGAACGGAACACGGAACGTCGTGTACCTTGAAGGTGACACTGTTGTCTGTACCAGAAGAAACGAAACCAAGGTACTACAATGATTGTGACAGTACATGTATGTTCAAATAGTGTTGTCACGAGAAATTATTTGCCAGCTCCACAGGCGTTAATACTGGCCAAATAACGTACAGGTTTACAATACTTGCACATGATTATTCAAGTGGAATTATTATCTGAGTGGTCTGGACAGTGGAACTGTGACCAGCTCTATTGAAGCTGCATGAGTGCATTGCACTGGTCATGATGCACCTGCTGTATCATGAACCCATCTTCTTGCTGCGGTAATTGGTTGTCACAAAAGTTACGACCATTTCAATCAATTTGGAGTCGAGTTCAATGTAAAAAGGTTGTGGAAAGGAGTGCTGGGTCACGTGATGTAGGCTGGTCAGTCAACTCTGGGAGATTTGTCGGGAGGGGGATATCAAAGCTGAAAGTTTTCGGAATCTTTGTTTGGGCACCACTAGCTGAGCCTCTTTTACAGCCAAACAAAATTTAATTCAGCGTGGGCACCTCTAGCTGCTACCCTCACCTGTACTGTCTTCACCTTGGGTTATTTTCTACTCACGACATCTTCATGCCTTTTGCATTTTTGTACTGTTTCCGGGATAGTTTGCCGCGGTTGGCTTTCACCCTTCATTTCACATTCCGTTGTTATTGGCAGTCGTTTGACGAGCCAGGAAATGTTGAATTAATACAAACACAAACAAAAGGCACCCAATTCTCTTGCATGATTCGTGAGCAAGCTAGTCCTGGGAAATCTACAGTCTATGCTGCAGGTGGCAGCGCCACGTTTAGTGTAATGCACACCAAAGTACATGATTGTACTGACTCTAAGAGAGTGGACTGGGACGGAAATTTGGGATTCACGGTACCATTGTATGGTATCCTTTCTTCAATGTGTATACTCCATGATGAAGACCCAATGTTGTTGTTGTATACTTTATTTATAGTGGAAATCAAAACAGGCAAAATGCCTAATAACATTGGACCCACTGTGAATAACATGTTAAAGGATATTGTGGAGAAAAAAAAAAAAAAAAAAAAAAAAGTAGATACAAGAGAAAAAGAGAAAGGAAAAAATGACGGAAGGTTGGTTGCAATGGCGAACATTTGGAGGTATAATAATTATTGACTGCAGTGTAAGACTGCGATGGTGGTGGTGGTGGTGGTGGTGGTGGTGGTGGTGGTGGTGGTGGTGGTGGTGGTGGTGGTGGTGGTGGTGGTGGTGGTGGTGGTGGTGGTGGTGGTGGTGGTGGTGGTGGTGGTGGTGGTGGTGGTGGTGGTGGTGGTGGTGGTGGTGGTGGTGGTGGTGGTGGTGGTGGTGGTGGTGGTGGTGGTGGTGGTGGTGGTGGTGGTACTATGATGATGTTCATGGTACCCGGATGGTATAACTAGCTAACTGAGTAAGGTTGAAACTGTTCCTGGCTACGTGTACTTCTTGAAGTTTCATGGCCTGTCTGACCAGGAGATGGTACAAACTCGTTGTATCACCGGGGAGAATTTAAATATATTCTCTCCCTGCTCAGTGCACTGTACAACTGCATGGTCTGACATGCTGCGATTGCATTTCCTTGCGGCAAGTAAATGTGTGCACAATGATCGAGCCAGTCCTGACTGAAATACTAATGATGGCTGGACCGGAAACAACAGAATGTATAGTGTACACAGTGCAGGAATGTGCAGCAGGTAGCAATCAGTGGCTGATTGGGTCAGTGTGCTACACCAAGCATTGACTGAGAATGCACAACTGGGGCTATACTGTGGTATTGGACATGTACATGCAGCAGTACTGAGTACACGTGTATGCCTCACACCTTGTACTGTACGTGGTACTAATACTATTGCTTCAGCAGTAGTTAGTAGTGCAGTGGCTGTGTGTATGCTAACTAAGCTTCAGCGAGTTCCAATATACTTGTGTTGGTACTGTTGATCGAAATGGTACGTGCTGTCATCACTACACCTGAACCTTAACGATTTCTTGCTGCAGGCTATCTGCTAGCCCGGGCCAGGGCCATGTCACCCCAGGACCCAGGTACAGTACATGGTACAACCCCATCATGTACCCACTTTAGATCAAACTGGCCCAGGCGATGTGCGTCCAGTCATCTAGTTACCTACTGTAACTCCCTGAAGCCCTGTCCCTGGCTGTCTGCTAATCACGCCTGGCTGTGACTAGTACATGGCCCTGCCCAAGGGCCAATCTGAACAAGCTAGCCTACGTAGCTTTACCTATTCTGCACATGGCACTGTATCACAGCAGGAGATGACACTGTCGGTGGCAGTTCCTGCGTATAAGGCTTGCACTTATGACAAACTAGGATTTCAGGGATTGTTGGCTGGTTGTAGAGCAAACCTGCCCTAACTAAAATTTGCTACAAGTACAGTGTAAGTTACTTGTGGTATTATGATGGTTGTAGTAAGGTCACTGTTTTCGAACACAGTGTCCTCCACCTTGTTTCATGCTGTCAATCTAACCGAATATGTACATGTAAGTTACTTGTAGCAAATTTTAAAGTATGCTGCTGGGCATGTGTGTTTCTGTGTACTGCTACTGCTGCTGCTCAGCTGTGTGTGTGTGTGTGTGTGTGCGCGCGTGCGTGCGTGCGTGCGTGTGTGTCTTACTGAGGTGTGGTGAGCCCATAAGTGGGATCATATTCAAGTCCACCCAGAATTTTGAGGATTTCAGGGGGTGTCGGCCATTGGGCGGTTCAATAGCCAATTGAGTCATCTCTCCAAGATTCCTTTTGAGTCTCTCCCCTCTCCTGGGGAGACCCACATGACCAGTTTTGGCAGTGAGCAACACGTACAAGTGTGTGTGTGGGGGGGGGGGGGGGGGTGCGTGCGTGTGTGCATGTGCATGTGTTCAAATGTGTGCTTGTTTGACCTATCAGGCTGTCTGACCTCTAGATGGTCCACGCAGGGATCAAACTGGCAAGGATGTAATGACACAGTACACAATTAGAACACGGCTAGTGTTATGTTGTTTGACGGCATGCTGTAAGTTGTCACCTGTAAAACAAGCGCCGCAATGATTCCCCATGCCCTGCCACAGCCGTGCATAATGTCAGCCCACTACTGTACATACATATTATGTGCTTGAGACGTTTGTGTCAGTGTGCGCCAGTGGTGTACCCACCTCGCGTGAACAAGAAGCTGAGTGTGTGGCTCAAGCTACCTACTTAAGTTTAAAAAATCGGTATTGTGTTTGGGAAGCCCACCGTTGAATACTGGTAGGATGATGAACTCAAAATTAAATTTAATGGTTTATTAGATAGATCCCTGGTATCATGAACAACGGGTAGTGTTGGAAACTTCCTCTAAAATGCTGCCAAAAGCAGTTTGTGAAGTGCATCCAAGTTCTTGTTTTTGTGAGAGAAGAGAATATCAAAGTAAGTAGATCGTTAGTGTCAGCAGCCACGAAAATAGCACAACTGTTGCGCTATTTTCCTTGGCTGCTAACGCTAACAAACAACTAATGTTGTCAATCCGCAGGTATTCATGAAAAATACGGTGCACTTGATCACCACAGCACATAGCGCATAGCCAGTTCTACAGGTGAATATTAGAAAAACGTGAACAATTTTTAATTCTGTGTGCCAGGGCAGTTTTGCATTCAGAACTGCGAAAGTTCGCATGAAGCTTCATGCTTCAGAAAACACGCGAAACTTGAGTCTGCGGAAACTTTCATTGGGACTCCTTGGGACTTTGTGGAACAATGAAAAATTTCAATTGCCCTTTGTGAGTATAATTTGTGTACAGAGACAATTATTTCCTGTCCCCCGTGAATTCCGCTATTCCGCGGATTGCAGAATGTTCGCAGAATCCAGTAGTGGCCGCAGAATTCAGAAAATCCCGCGGAATATTGCAGAAAAGAGAGAAAAACTGCTTTTTCTGGAGACTTTTGACAAATTTTACAGCCAAATCAACCTGCTTGTGACTTTCAAAGTCAACTTGCAGTGTATTTTGAAGCTTTCAATTTTTAGGACCAGGATTTCGCATAATTTTGATTCAGAATTTACCGTATAGGGACAACAAACTGCGATGGGGTTGCGGAAATTCGATCTGTTTTTACGCAGCCTTGCTACACGGACCTGAGGCCATCATCAAGCCGGCATGCATGTCACCAACAACGCCGTCCTGTGTTCCACGGCCCCTAGCTCCACACTGCACTCTACAGTTACATGTACTGGCTTTCAGTCTGCATACCTTCATGCTTGTGGCACTGACCTGCTATTCGTCTACTGAGCAGGGTTCGATAAGAGGAAGTTGAGAATTAAATTTAAAAGAATAAGAGAATGAGGCTCAATCCTGCCAAATGATAAAAAGAATAGGCTCCAGATGTGGGAGCACACGTACCAGAAATCGATCAGACTGGACCACACGGTAAATTAAGGGCGCAGGTCGGAATAAGGAGTCAATAGACTGAAAATGATAGGGCTCACCAAGACAGTGGCACAAAATCCATTAAAAACATTGGAGGTAAAATTCCTAGATAAGTACCTACGGGTTAATGGTTGGTTCTAAAAAAATAATAAGAAAGACTCCGCAGCAGTGATACCCAGCCAGGGACTCGGTCAAACCAAATGTGACTATTAGGGATAAAAACATGCGCCAGAGTCGACCTCAACAAATCAAATGCGCAGCTTCAGCTCACGGCTATATGTTACGGGCCAGGGAATTCGAGACTTCTTCTAAAAGGCAACAGCCAGCAAAAAGAAGAAGAAGAAGAGAGTAACTAGCTACATTCCATGATCATGTAGTAGTTAGTGTGTGTGTGTGTGGGGGGGGGGGGGGGGGCTGTATGTTTGCAGGTTCTTTCGTGAGTATTTCGTAATCCGTTTGTTAGTAAGTGAAATGATATGTGCTACGCATACTGGCCTCATTCAAACTACATATTGGCGGCCATGTTCATGAGTTGCCGTAGACATGCATACTTCGAAGTACATGTTTAGCGTGCATTGGTTGCAGGAGTGGACTCATGTCAGGTCAAATTCAACATTTTTCCCTGTTTTTTTTTGTGGCTTGAATAATTTTTAGTCACCTTTCTTTTCTTGATCACTACTGGTGGTATGAGGAGAGGAGCTGAGTTGTACAGCAGGTAAGTCGACTACTTCCTTGATAGGAGAGGTCTGAGCACTGCCGGGATGGCGGCGCATGTTCGCTGGTCTGGACTTGAGCGATTCCTTCGTTCTGATAAGGTTGTCTTCGAGCGGATTGGAGCGTTTGCGCTCCACGCTTGTCAGGCGGAGGTCCTCAGCCGTTTGTATCGCCTCGACACTGGACACACAAGCAAAGACAAGTAACAGCATCCACAGAACAAGTAGCTGTTCAGCAATTACTACTACATCGCAGTCTTGCATCAATACTAATATACTGACCATACTGCTGGCATCAAATGCTCAGAGAAAGTTTGCTACCACATTCGTTCTGTCCTTACAAAGATGGACTCTATATTTCGAAGAAGAAAAGACTGAGTTCTTTGCAGTACTAGTAAACCACATGATCAGACATATGATCACACATGTCACACCCCCCCCCCAAAAAAAAAACATAATGTGGTTCAAAGGTACATAAATTGGAATCTTACCGCTGCCGAGTGTTGGGCGTTGTATTGGAGATCTTGCCAAGGATGTCAGACATAACCTCTTGCTTAGCACGTTCACGAGATTGTTGTTCAAGGCTGTTGTTATTAGTGCGGCGGGAAAGAAAGAAAACCCAAACACCAGCACTTAGCACAAATAAATCTGAAATATTAGACTCGACTCACATACAAAGTCAGTCTATCTTATCTCTCTCACTCTCTGACGTCATAAATCCGGCCTAGTCTCGGCAAGTTGATGACATCATCATGATGTCACCAAATTTAGGGAAAACTCAAAGCTGGAATAACTCGGGAACAGCTGCTCCGATCAACCTGGGACCTTCACCATTGGGATCAGTGTATTTTTCGCTACAGGTTAAGGCTCAGCCCTCCGCTCTCTACTGCAGTACTTACACTGGGTGTAGCTGCTCGTTTACAGCTCTCAGTGACAGGATGTACGGCTGGATGGACTTGACGATGTTGACCAGCTGCGCAAGGTCCCTCAACATTCTCTTGATATCGTCCAGGTTAGACTCATACATGTGCCGGGTGTTGTCCACACGGTCAATCATCCGCTGCCACGTGGCCTTACATGCATCCTCTACACTCTCCACGGCATCTTTCTGCTCATCCAGTTCTTCACCGAGACCATCAGTATCAGTCATGATCTTTGAAAGCTGGACACAAAAGTGCATGCAGGATATTTGTAAGTTGAATGTCGAAAAAGAGGAAAAAATCCCAAAAATGACTATCACAGATTGTTCTCACAGCACAATTTAATACATAGATGTATCAGCTGTTGACATTATTGATTGATTGCTAAAATGCGAAAGTAGTATCTTAGCTAGGGGCCACGGAGCACACACTAACCTGGAGGGCATCTGGTTCACATCGGCGGTGTGTCACATCGCGATGCAAGTCTTGTACAAGCGTCCTCAGCGTGTTCAACTTTACTTCTAGAGCCTGAGGCAACAATGCAGATTGGGAAGATAGATACAGGAATACATGTACTTATCCATCATGACACAACATGCGTAGCCGCATCAATCCACTCCACTCGTGATTTTTCACTGACAAGTAATAATAATAGTTGTCAAAAGTTTTTTTTAATTTCCTGAGAGAAGATGTGTTGTTGACGGGACAGATGGCTGACGACCTTCCCATCGCATCCTGGACCCTGGCTTAGCTGAAAGCCATCCTGAAGAAGTGTGATGCCTTTTTATCCGGCAAGAAAGCGGAACTTTTGGAGCGGTAAGTAAAAATATATATTTGTCAAATCGGTTTTGGGGAAGTACGTCTGGTTTTTTCTTCCTCTGTTGTCTTCTTCCCCTGGCCAGTGCCGTGTTCTACAAAAAAACCCTGATGCCCCGCGAACTCGGTCATCAGCCGCCAGCGCTGACTCTCCTATTGTGGCAGCGGAGGAGACAGCCAAGGCACCTTGCTTCCCCACATCAGGCTGGTCGCACGATCTGTCCAGTTTTCCTGCAGTGACGACGTCGACTTTCCTTCAGCACACGCTGAAGTCTGGGAAATCAGTGCAATGTGGTGGATATGATGCAGGAGTGGTGATGGCTCGGCGGCCGTTAGAGAGAGGCAAAGAGTTCTTCTGCGGAGGAAAAGTACATGATGTCTCTGTGGCCACTATTGATATGAACTCGTTTGTTGTTGGCAAGTGCTGGGCGTCACAGCACAGAACGACAGAGTACTGTCAGAAACTCGTCCTTGCCACAGCCACGGAGTCCACCAGTGCTACAGTAACTTATGCCACATGTGAGGGATGTGTGGCTTGGCGTCGATGAAGGTCTCTGCTCTCATGTGTTTGTCCTCTTGATTGTGCAGGAAAAGTACCACTGCACTGAGGAGGCAAGGTCCGTCATGTCATTGCCATGCAGCTGGGGCCCCAGACAACGAGATATTGAGCCCAAGCCTATCATGGACACTGTTGTCGAGAGGGCGTCCATGGAGAGGAAGGACCCACCTGTCAACTGTTCCCTCTACGAGAGCAGGGTGCGAGAGCTGTGGACACCGTCAGTGGAGAAAGTCAGCCGCTTCCCGTGACTTACTGCCTGATGGCTGTGGCTTGAAACAGCTGTTGCCACAGCAGTGTTCTACTGTGACAAGCTCGTATGGACCGACACCTCGTGGGAATCCTTTGGGTTACTAAAGCAATCCTAATCACGCCCCAGTCGCTCCTCAACCACTGCCGGCGTCGAGTAGGAAGAAAAGGTTTCCGCCACTACCGCTGCCCGCTCGAAAAGAACGCACTTCGATGAGACTTGTTTGGTCATGCAGCTTGCAGGAACAATCGGCCAGTCGTCGAACAAGGAGAGGATGGATCGCCATATGTACACCCTCACTGCCTCCAACTTCCGACTCATTGTGCACTGTAAGACTGGCCAGGAAAAGCTCCTGACGTCTCTGTTCGACCAGCGCTCTTTGTCGCACATTCCTGCGATCCGCCATGGGAAGCAGCATGAGCGTGATGCTGTTGCCAAGTTATCAGTCTGTGAAGAGTGCCGGTGGCCAGCCAGTTTCGGTTCGAGATTGTGGTCTTGCAGTGGACCCAATGTACCAGTACATTGGTGCTTCCCCAGACGCAATGGTGTTTGACGGGTCTGCGCATCCTGTGTACGGGCCGTTAGAAGTCAAATGCCCGTACACAGCCTTTGAAAAGTCTAGGACTGTGATTGAAGCTACTGCCAAGGACAGCAACTTCTCTTTGGTAGAAGAGGATGGTCAACTGAAACTCAGCAGACAGCATCCATACTTTACGCAAGTACAAGGTCAGCTGGCTATATGTCAACTGCCCCGGTGTGATGTTTTTGTTTGCTTGGGACAGAGCTTCCACTTGGAGCGTATCTATACAGTCTGCGAGGCCATCTGCACCGAGTGCCCTCAGATGCAAACGACTCGGCCCGATTTGCGGTTGCCATGAGCAGCATCGGTTAAAGCTCTCTCCCGAGGCTCCATACTAGACTGTTTTCACAGCCATTTTGCTCTCTCGACTGTTTTCACAGCCATTTTGCTCTCTCGACTGTTTTCACAGCCATTTTTGCTCTCTCGACTGTTTTCACAGCCATTTTTGTTCGTTTTTCTTCCGGTGCTGTTGAGGCCGAGGTTGCACTCGTAATTGTGAAAAAATCATGACATCATTTAAAAAACTTGGAGCGTATCTATACTGACTTCGATGTTTATAGCAACTCCATTTTGCCAGTACCGCCTGACGTTCAAAGTAGCGCTCCTGTTCCTGCTGCTGCAAGATCCGCTGTGTCTCCCTGGTCGCAATACGAAATGTTGCTTCCCCACGACTTATCCCAGTCCACTATTGATGGCAGGAACGGCAACAATGCTTGTACGATTATCTCTGCTGTCTATATTCGCAACAGCCTTGAGGCTGCTAGTGATGATGGTGCCGTTGATACCAGTACTGTTGCCATGTGTGAAGCTATGCGTTCAGGCAACCGTATTTATGATTCTCTGCACACCAACCGTCTCCTTTCGTGTGATGAAGTATTAGCACTCCGGCCAAGTGTAGGAGTAGATATGTGTGCTGAGTCATTTGTCCAACCTGCTGCTCTGGACACAATAGTGTCGTTGATGTCAACTCGCTCACAGAATGCGGCTTCTTTTGAATACGGTGCTGTGTTTGTTGTTACTCCATACTCGGTCTCTCTCTGTCTTCTTGCCAGGGGCGTTTCATCCGCTTTGACTCTCATTGCCATGGGGAGAAGTGGTGCACTTCTTGCAGATGTGCCTACTTCTGAGGCGGCTAACTATCTCGAGTACTTTTTTCACACCACTACCCTGGTCAGAACGTCAATGCTGCTGCCCCTGGTAACCCTGCAGCCCACGTGACATTTCTAGGCTTGAGACAGTCTGCTTGTGCAACCTAGCCTGCTCTACTTGCTCTCTTCTTCCCTCCCACATACTTACTCCTTGTTCACTCCACTCTAGTACATAAATCTGTGTGCTGATTATCCTAACTACATGCTGCAACCTCATCCCTGGCAGTATCTTCGCTTGTGTTGGGTCCGAACAAGAGACTGACAACGGGAACAGGTAGGTTGGTTTGAAGAGAGAGCAACGCAATATAAAGGGCCTGGGTAGCTATGGCAAACATGGACGCGCAAGTAGCTACCCAGGCCAAATGAATAATGCATGAACTAATGAATATGAACTACATGTAATTACTTGTGGGCCCAACACTTGTATATTTATTACTCCTCTCCTTATCTTTTGGGTAGTGATGAACCCGAGACCATTGGTCGGAGGAGCTACTCTTGCCCCGCCCCACTCCCGTCCAATATTAGGGGTCGCACTTGGTATCATCAAGAGTCCATAAACAAGAGTATGCAACTGTGATCTCTTTTCTATGGGCCAGATGCGCGGCGCGCTGCCTTCATTACATCATTCAGCTGCAGTCCGCGCACTGCGGAAAATCAAACACCGCACTTTCCCTCTGGTTTGAAATGAACTTTCGTACGGAACTGGAGTTCACGCGCCAGAATTCAGAGATCGCGTAGGTACTGGAACGAATCGAGCAAAAACAGATGGGCTCGTACGAGAAATTGTGAGTTTGAATGCATGCTTTCAGAGCGTGATGAAGGCAAGTTATGTAATGAAGGCAGCGCGCCGCGCACTGGGCCATAACCACAGTTGCATACTCTTGTTTATGCACTCTTGGTATCATGATCACCTCTCGACATCGCGGCCATCTTGCTTTTGACTGCATGCGCGACGCGTGCTCTTTTGGATCACGTGTGTGGTTCTCAATGCATTGTTTGCATACAGAAGCTGTACAAGCGCTACAAAGCTACAATCAAGACCTGCAGATTTCTGTGAACAGAGTTTTCTTCTTCACTGACACCGTTCTTGTTTTGACACGGCGATGTTCTCTTTCCCCGTTCTCCTTTCAAAATAGACTTCCATTTAGTTGTAAGTCACAACTGCAAACTTACTGGTAAGTGGAGGTCTAAGGCTTGTCGCGCAAGTATTCCCGCTTTGAATTCGCGTGTCTCAGAACAACGACCGTGGGAATCATGCGAGGCGAATATTTCTCAGGAGAAAGAGGTTCTGTTTGCAAAGTTGCTTCGACCCGCAAGGAGTATTCCAGCAACGAGTACTCCTGGTGCTACGGAAAGCGGGCCTATCGGGACTTACTGACGGTATGGTTGATTTGTTTTATCTCACTCGTATCGGTACTGTTCGTACTGCACGGACTGCACTTGTATCATACATGTGACACAAACATCACAATCGCACGGCGTCGTCTTGAGTTGGTCTTGGAGTCTTCATGGTTCAGCAACGCGGCATTGCCGAGTTGGAGAAAGAAAGCAATGACTGTACATGAACATTGTTCCACAACAAAGACACAGGGCAAAGCGTTCCAGCAGGCAGATCATTCTGATCACGTCCGCGCACCAAATAAACTCGAAGGCAGTCCAAGGATTTTCCGACACTGTGCGATCGCGATCGCGGCTCGCGTCGGGCCGTCAGTGCAGTCTTCAATATTTTCCTTGGCAGCCACCCCTTTTTCCGATTTCCATGATCGAGGGCTCATTTTCTTTATTAGAATCTCCCCAGTAGATCTACCGGATCAATCTTTTTCTCAACGACATAGATTTACTGTCAGAATACTGGAAAGCAGGGCGACAACACTCAGAAAAAGCCCTACACACGGATTTCGCTTGTACTTGACAGATTTCAAAATTTCTTTCGATAGATGTCCGCGTACTTGGCCGTCAAAGCAGCCCTGCAATTTTCGACGCCGTAGATAAAACGGCTGCTGCCAAGGAACCCTTTACAAATCGCGCAACTATTGCAATATTTGGAATTTTCCGCAGTTCTGATTGGCTGCACGACCCTGACGCGCACGTGCTGCGTGCGTGATGAATCAAAAATGGCTGCGATGTCTAAGTACACAAGTGCGACCCCTGAATATATGTCACTGCTTGCTCAACATTGGCCCTCTGTGCAGCATCTGAATGTTCTGTGGTACAATGTGAAAAATATTGTTGCAACGTAGGTGTCTGGAAAGGCATCATTGCAAAACGAAGGTAGAGAAAACTGATCCACATCTTCAGAATCTATGAAACAGCACTCTCACTGCCGCCAAAGCTATAAGCCAACTCTTCCTGAAGTCGGCGAGGCGAAGACGCATGGGCGTGAGCAGTAGCTGATCTTCTTGTGACTTCTTGCGACAGGATAGAGACACGGCCACTGCCACGAGCTATTTTCCAGCCTTCTTGCTCTCAAAATTGCACCTGGGCCTACTTGCAGGTAGGACCACAGACTTTTCCATGCCCCATTATTTAGTCCGGCAAGAAACTCCATCTCCTCCTCGTTGTCACATATATTGGCATAACGGAAGAGCTGTGAGCGAAGGTGAGTGACTTCAGCTTTCAAATTTGCAACTTCAGCTTCCAACTCCTTCATCTTAGCGTTCTTCGTTCGTAGCTCTCCTTGGAGCTTGAACTCCACCGCCGACACGCCTGGCTTTGGCAGCCGCTTTTGGGCTTCCAGCTCAGCTGCATGAGCTGCACCAACAGCTGCACCAACAGCCTCGGGCTCGGAGGCGGAGGTCGGAAAGAAAACAAGGACGGCACAGCCCCTTTCTTCACTCGACGACATGGTTTCTTGGCTCCTGGCTGGTGTACAGACACCGTCGGGTGGAAACTTTCAGGTGTAAAATGTTCGCTGCAAACGACAGTATTGGCAGAAACTACACAGTGTTCCTGCTTTACAGCCTGTATCCACTGGGTGTCGCGAGTGTCAGGATCGGCAGGGAGGACGTGAAGCGATAGGCCAGGCCTCTTTGAATGGCGGTTAGAACAGTCGAACACACAGCAGTGATCCTCAGCAGGTATTCCGATAAACACAACTGAACTCGAGACAACAAACATTTGGAAACGGGAAAAATTTGAAATGTCGATCCCACGCGGCAGGTCAGAGTGCTCCTTGCCCCGTCTCGAACCCAGACAATCTTGGGGGAACTAGTTTAACTGTTATTCTAGTGGTCATTGGCTATATTGAACAGCATGCAAACGCTGGGTGCGAGGTGATACCTAACTAGCAGTCAGCGAGGAAACTACTGACTAGGCTTCCTGGTGCACACCTTGAAGAATAAACTAGCAAGAAATGTACAAAGTGCACCCGTCAAGAAAACGTTCCATACCTTGGATCTGGTGGTGAACGCGCGTGACCGCTCCGCGTAGAGAGCATCAAGAAACGCCTCCTCATAAACAACCTGCTGCTGGTGCTGTTGCTGTCGCTGCTCCAGAAAGCCATCCGGGGACAATGCATTGCTGCACTGTCGCTGGAAGTAGGTTGTTGCCGATGCCATATCACTTTTGTGTCCATTGGAGATGTCCGGCATCCCTGGGGCGGATGGTTTGCTTCTATATCTACAAGATTGGAAACAGAAAGCCACCATCCCCTTTGTCTACGTACAAAGAACAGGAAGAAGCACAGCTGGACAGTCCCATCCTGCTAAGCAGTACACACACGATCAGACAACGGTCTACACGTCCAGAATACTGGTAGTCATTCATACTTACGAGTGAGAGTGGCCGTTGACATGCTCAAAATCCAGGTTGAAATTGGAACCCGTCTCCGAATGCATGTTGGGACCAAGCACCTCATCGACACATCTGGAACAGCAAACAGAAAGAGCAAATGAGCTACATGTAGATGAAAGTGTTACGAGTGGTGTACATGCATGCAACAATGAAGTCACTGCATTACTCTTCAGATCAACAGCAGGGAGCAACGGTGCGATCAACAATAATACAGCTGCAAAGAGTTGGCCACCGAGAAAACTAAAGCTCTTGACACAAGCCAGAACACTGACAAGGGAGTCCAGATCTGGCATTGAGGAGCAGCTGCAGCGGTGCACACCTGTCACCACTATTGTACGGGCAAGACAGCATGATATCCACACAGCTACCAGTGGCATACACGTGTACAGTGTCTGCTCTGGGATTGTAGGACAGCCGGGTACACGTGTACCTGGCGCAACCATTTCAACCCGGTCGGAGCCGGGTACACATGTCCCTGGCGCTGTCTCACCAGCCGAGTCACATGGTTGGTTTTTTTTTTTAATTCGAACAATAAACGGGAACTAGGCCTAATGATATAAAGGCGAATTGATAAGCGGCGGGAAAGCCGCATTTAGAAAAGAGAAGACAGGAATTAGAAAATTACGAAAGAAGAAGAAGTATCTGACACATACAAGCCATGTAGTCAGTCCTTTCAAAGTTCGAAAGTGTAAAGTACCAACTGGGTCACAGGTGACCCGGTACTATATTTTCAACCGGGTCCAAGCGCCGCCCAACCGGGTGGATTACCCGGCTCACCCGGCGCTGGAGCAGACACTGGTGTAGACGCTACACTGTCTCATACAATGTACAGTATTGGTGCAGACAGATACATGTACACGTATGCTGGACACAACTTACTTCATTATAGTTCGGCGATAGTGACACCCAATCTACAAAGCACATACGCACACACACACACACACACACACACACACAGAGTGCATTCGATGTGTGAAAGACATAATATGTCTTATGTCACGAAATAACATGTGCTATGGTAGGAGGGAGCATCCCTCAGCCATTTAATTGAGCGGAAACCGGGCAGAATGCCTTTAGTTGAAGAATAGAAAATGACATGTATTCATCAAACTCCCAGGAAAATGACTGGGGGGGGGGGGGGGGGGGGGGGACACTGCGCCACATGGGCGAGCACGCAGCATGCAAGCCTGCTCTGTCTGTCACTCTCCACGCACTTTTTCGATCACACAGTCCGGCAGTGTGTACCAGTGACACATTCGCGATGAGCTTGCTCTTGCATAACAGCGAGAAGCGAAGATGCTCGATGTTATCTTTGCACACGTTTGTTTTCCACTTCCAGTTCCTCCTCTTCGGAAATGCCTTCTCACGCCAACTGTGCTGTCCTTAGGTGTTCTAATCAGAAAGACAGGTGCAAATGGGGTTTGTTCCCTAGTGAAGAGAAGGTGCATGGGCGCAAGGTGAACGTGAAGCACCGTTCGTGTGGATCTCCGCTGAAGAAAGTCGGATGTGGAAACGCTTCGGATATTTGTCGTAGTGTGCCGTTCCGGAGGATTCCGAAAGACACCAAGCTGTGGAAGAAGTGGCTGGCCAGTATTCCGAGGGAACTCATTCCCTTGACGAACAACAGCTATGTCTGCGGCATCCATTTCCATACGGGTGAGGCTGGCAGTGGTACGCCACGAGTGTTTGTCAACAAGGCAGTGGTTGTCCAACGCCAAACGAGGATGTCAGCGACTGGAGATTTTCACCCGCAGCCTGTGGAGCTACTCGACCCAGAACAGGACAATATGGAGGACCAGCAGCCTAATCCTTCTGCCGAGGAAATCAGTGGTCTCGCGCCTGATACGCAGGCATAATGTCAATGACCACTGCCTCAGCAAAATGAAGCAGCAAGCTGAGCAAACCAAGGAGCTGGAGAAGAAAGTTCAATGCTTTGTATTTGTGAGTTGATCAAGTTGTCAAGTAACATGATGGTGTTCATCTTGTTCAGCTGTTGAATAACAGTGCCTACAAGCCCATCTCTCTAACATGCCCCAGCTGTGTCACACGTGCCTGTGGTTTGCATCCCGTCTCTAACATGCCCAGCCGTGTCACGCGTGTTCGTGGTATACTGCCGTACATGTTCGGATCGCGATCGCCTGCTCCAGCACGTTGTGCAATGATGCGGAAGCTAAGAAAAAAGTGGTGAGAAAGTGCTTTGTTTTCCCAAAATGCAAATAAGAAAACAGTTCTCAGACCAAGAAAGCTGTAGATGTACTGTAGTAAGAGAGATTTACAATGGAGGACGCTGCAAGAGCAAGCGCCAGCACGCCGGTAGTGCATGGCGACGATGGACATCAGCTAAGGTCAACGTCCTCTTCACAGTCCTCACCACCATCATCATCACTACCACCACCGTCTATGCCGTTTTCTGATCATGATGAGCAGTGCTACATTAATGCAAACCCTCCATCATCCCGTACCCCGAACGTCACACCGGCATCACCATCACCTTCATCACCATGGACACCATCCCCACCACCACCTGTACCACCACGGCCTAACCCCCCCCCCACCACCACCTGTACCACCACGGCCTAACCCCACCACCACTCTGGCCGTCTCTACCACCACCATCACCGGCAGCAAGCGCCATTCAGCAAGAACCATCGGCACGGATGCCATGCCTGCTGCAGCCAAACTGTGATGGGTGCCGCAGAAGATGCGATCTGGGGCGGTGCAGCTGCACGACGGCACGTGTCCGCCTAGCACTTGCTTTCGGAACATTTGTGGTGGTACTCATTATTTTTTATTAAGGTGATGTTATAACTCTGTGTGTGCGTGCGTGCGTGTGTGCGTGGGTGTAAAGCTGTTTTAATATTGGTGATCTGGAGTGTGCTTTGCCCATGTACATGTAAGTGGTTTGCAGCAATAATGATACTCTGCGTGTGTGTGTGTGTGTGTGTGTGTGTGTGTGCGTGTGTGCGTGTGTGCGTGTGTGTGTGTGTGTGTGTGTGTGTGTGTGTGTACGTATCTTCGACTCTCACTCTGTAGAGACATTGATATTATGACACAGTGTGCTTCATACTGTGTGCATGACCCCCCCCCCTGTTAACAAGAGAAATGGAGGACCCTGTAACTCTTGACTGCTCTGGGACGAGCTGAAGTGGATTGAACTCATGATTTATTATCCAAAACCAAAAAATAATAATAAAACCACACATCTTCAATCATGAAGTGTGCAGAGCCATCATGTATATAGGTGGATGAGAGGCGTATAGCATCACCAGTACAAGCAGCAGCAGCAGCAGCACTAGTAGGACAGTGTTTACAGACTGTGGGGTAGAGGGGTTGGCAGCCATGGCAGTGGAGGAGAGCCAAATGAATGCAAACATGCAAATGATTCTACTGTGGTTAGGGTTAGAGCTAGGATTAGACCAAGCGTTAGGCTTAGGGCTAGCACTGGGGTTAGAGTTTAGGTTAGAACTAGGGTTAGAGCTAGGGTTAGACCAAGTGTTAGGCTTAGGGCTAGGACTAGGGTTAGAGTTTAGGTTAGAACTAGGGTTAGAGCTAGGGTTAGAAGAGCCATTTAAAAACACAATCACCACCACTCCACAACCACTTGAAAAGTCACTTAGAACCCCCCACGTCCATACTACTATCGCGATATCGCCTTCCTGCTGTTCCCACACTACACGAACGATCGATTTTTTTCTCACCTCCCCAGAAGTGCGTCCTTCTTTCCTGATCTCTTCAGCTTGTTCTGCAAGCAGTAATCACGGAGAACGTTGCACGTCCAGATACGGGGATTACTGGATACCGACATCGCCTTGCTTGACACTAGATGTCAAGACTCAACACGAACTGACCAAACCAAACGCCGCTTCTTTCTTCAAAAATGCAGCGACCATCTAGTCGCTGGTGTTTTTTTCGCTGTTCGCTGCTGCCGTGCTGACCCAGTGTCCCCGCAGTCACGGTCCAGAGTAGGGAGAAAACCCCACCCGCCATTTTCGATGGATGAATACGTGCCATTGAGCAACAGTAACGCACACCACACCTCCACATCTACCACAAGTGGGTGTGAATGTTCACAGTACCTGACTATTGGTCATGGCGTAGATCTGCTGAGGATGGTCGGAGACAATTTCCAACCTCTCAATCAGGTCCTGGAGAGAATATGGAGAGAAAAAGTGAAATTTGAACATCACATGTCATGTGGAAGTATGTTTGGGGTAGAAGTCACAGGGGTGATAGTGGCCCAATTTTGGGTATGAACAAAATTGCGTTGCCTCTGAGCCTTGAAGCGATTCGCCTCATAGTCACTGGCACAAGTGCCTAAACCCAATTTATTACTGACATCCATGTACATGTATTTGAAGCACAATCATGATTCATGTATATCAATGCCATACCAGAACACCATACTAGCACACGTATGCATCATCCACGTCACACTACGGCACTTTTCCTTGCTCTCCCATCCGGAATTACAATTACGTACAGCAGTTACGAATCACAAGCCGTGAAGCGTAACGTAAAAAAGCACGTCACCATAACTTACAGTCACAAGATCCAAGAACTGATGTACGTTACTCGAGCCAGAGAAGATGTTTCCGGTCTCCAGACTGTTCTGTGTAGACAAGGAAGCACACAAAGGCACAGGCACAGACACACAGGTCACAAGCAAGTAAAAGTAAACACATTGATTTCACCACCAGGCGCGGGGCCTCAAACCACCGTCGAAATAAACTGCCCATCCCACAAAGTGGACCCAGTTGGAAGCGGTGAAGAAGCCAACGTGTGCAAAATGTACACAAGCACAGTACCCCCCCCCCCCCCCCCCCTCATTTGCCACGATCAATGACTGACTTTGAAACTTGCACCAGTGCATTGGATTTTCCATCATAGATAATTGTATAGCAATAATATAAGCATTCAAAGGCGGTCCTTACAGGGCAGTGTGCCATTCAGGGAGTTACACGTGTGTTTAGAAGAGGCGTACTGGCAACACTGTGTACGTCGTGTAGCTGCATACCAGTATCCATAACCACTCCTCTCTGATGTCTTGTGTGCCAACTGTCTTGCTAAACATACAGGTGTCCCAGTCGGGTACAATCCAGAACGGACAACAGGAATCACCGCCAACCTATTCCAGTTGCATTTGATGAACCCAATGAGAAACCTACTGGCCCATCTACTTCCTAGGCCCAGTCACAGAGGCACAATGGTACAACCTGACCATTACGTACCGTATCTGCTGGTGTATAGTGCGCACTTTAGATGCACTAGTTCCGGTCCCAAATCGCAGGTGCGCACTATGCTTCGAATATCAAAATGCATGTCATGTACCTTTGGCTTGCCAAACACGTTGGTCAAGAAAGGGGGTGCGCATTATACTCAGGTGCGCGGTATACTTCGGCAAAATACGGTAGTCAACACTGACCGATATTGAACTGAAGGAGGAAGAACTTCTATTACAAATGTAGATTGGGCACCACCATTATTTCTCATGTCACGGCCATCTCAGCCTAGCAAGAAGCATTGTCCATCTGAGGATTCTACAGAGGCCAGTAAAATCATGTGCTTGGACATACTAACTGAGTCTGCCAACTCTCACAAATCCATGAAACATGTGCTGGATTCTCTCTCTTTCCCTCTCTCTTTCCCTCTCTCTTTCCCTCCCTCCCTTCCTCCTCTCTCTCTCTCTCTCTCTCTCTCTCTCTCTCTCTCTCTCTCTCTCTCTCTCTCTCTCTCTCTCTCTCTCTCTCTCTCTCTCTCTCTCTCTCTCTCTCTCTCTCTCTCTCTCTCTCTCTCTCTCTCTCTCTCTCTCTCTCTCTCTCTCTCTCTGTGTCTCTGTCTCTCTCTTCCCCTCCAGCTTCAATATGTCAGTTACACTGGAGATGCCGATTCAAGTGATGTGCTGCAGGTGCGAGTCATCCAAGTTATTGGAAAACTGACAGTACAGCTTCTTCCCCATATTCTTACTTTGACAATGACAGCAAACATTGTTAAATCCTTCAGTTGACTGTCCAGTCGCCGCAGTTTGTCATCTTTCTGCCTATATAAGCACAACCAGGTAAGCACGGACAAGATACAGAGAGCAAAGTGAACTTCTGCACCATACACCGGAGGAGGAGGAGATCACTACATCAACAGGGTCAAAATTCAATACAAAATAGCAGATGTGAAATTATCCGCATGCCTCTACAAGATCTTTGGGCCCATGACTTTCTTAGAGATTCCCAGGTACATATTTTTGCTTTCAGTTCATGTCATGCACTATTCGATGAACGTGCAATTTAGACTTCAGCCTGTTTTTAGGGTTCAATCGGCTTTAGTGCCATTTCAAATTGAAACTCCAAGTCTTTCCCGTTGGTATTCAGTAACTTACTTTTCAACAACCTCCATCAATGCTTGACGCTTCTCTTGTAGCTTGTCCTAGCAGTAAAGGAAACGAAAGGAATGCGAAAATAAAATAGGGTAAACTAGAACACACACACACACACACACACACACACACACACACACACACACACACACACACACACACACACACACACACACACACACACACACACACACACACTACTACTACTACTAGTAGCATGACTGCCCAGAGGGGCAAGTGTCACCCCTATGGAAAGGGGACCAGAAAACGGGACACGGATCACAAGCAGGACCGCGAATGTCTGGCTAGGTCCTGCTGCCGGCGGAAATTGCGTTTACAATGTGGGCAGCTGAGGGGCAGAGCTGCTCTCTCAGCAGCAGATGGTCTCGCACCACGATTGCAGTTGTGACGCTTGAACCCGGCCGCAGAACGGAAGCATCGCTGACATGTTGGGCAGTGCTGCTGGCAACAAGCTGAAAGTGGCACAGACAGACTGACTGTTGGTGTAGGAGAACTCGTGACAGGCTGGCATCGATGAACAGAGTAGCCACCCTTGCTGCGGAACCACCTCTGGCAGTTCTGGCATTGCACTGATCCACGCTGGAGCTGGATGGGAAGCCGTCTCTGAGTGATGCACTTGTGCCGCGTTCTATCTGAGACCCATGAGAAGTTCCGGTCACACACTGCGCAATGCACAGACTTGGGCATGGTGGAGCTCGACTGAGGGGCAACCCGTACTTCCCTCCACTGTTGGCAGTCCTGAGCAAGGATGAACCACTGAGATGGCTGTTGCAGTGCAACCTTGAGGTCGGTCATCACCGTGTCTTTCCACCGTCGCCGGGGACCACAAAACGGCCGAGGCACAGGTAGCCACCCAAAGAGGAGTTGGAGGGGGGTGCGATCCTCATCCATACGCGCAACGTGCCCAGTCCATTCCAGACGCCGATTGCGGAGGCGTGTAGACATCAGTACTGGGTCTCCCCAACGGTTCCGCAGGTCTGTGGATGACAGCCGCTCGGACCACTGACGAGGCTTGGTGATGCTGAGGACAGTCCGGATGCATTGATGGTGGAATTTATCCAAACTTCTGATATCCCGTTGGAGTGGGGTCCAACACTCTCCGCCATACAGTAATATTGAGGAAACGCAGGCCATGTACAGGTGGCGTTTACTAGAGAGGGACAGAGATCTGTCAGTGAATACCTTCTGGAGGGCTCCGAAGGCCTTTGAGGCTTCGGCAATACGGCGCTTGATGTCGGATGAAGAACGACTGTCAGGGGTCACTATGGATCCTACTAAGTAGGTAGGTGAACTTCGGCACGGCTTCGATAGTGCCAAGGGGGAGAACGATGTCAGCTGAGTCTTCAGCAGAGACCCCATGGCCCGCCGTCATGATCTTCGTCTTGGCGATGCTCACAGTTAGTCCAAATTCTCGGGCAACACTACAGAAGAGCTCCACACCAAACTCAGCATCACTACGGCATTCAGACACGAGAACGGCATCATCAGCATACTCCAGGTCACTAACAGACAGTGACTCGCCAGCCCTGCGCGATGATGAGCGGGGGTAGAGTTGGCCATCGATGGAAAACTGGATGCTGACAGAGTGACTACGACCAGCATCCTTTAGCCGGGCACGCCATGTCTCAACAACCGCCCCGAAGTACAGGTTAAAGAGAACGGGTGCCATGACATATCCTTGTCGGAGACCATTAACCACAGGGAACTCATCAGAGGTGGAATTGCCAACTCGGACCGAGGCAGAGGTAGAGGTGTGGAAAGCCTTAATCAGGGCCACTAGCTGTTGCGGGACCCCAAGTCGGCCCAAGGCCACCCAGAGAGCAGCGCGTGGTACAGAATCGTACGCCTTTTTCAAATCCACAAACACACAGAAGAGCTGCTGACGATGTTCGTATGCTTTCTCGATTAGCTGGCGGAGCGAGAAGATGGCATCAACACAGCCCCTGCCTGGCCGAAAGCCGCTCTGGGACTCTGGGAGTTCCGACTCAGCCAACAACTGCAGGCGATCTTGAATCATGCGGCCACACACCTTGCCAACAACATCAAGAAGGGCAATACCCCGCCAATTATCACATTTGGACAGGTCGCCCTTCTTGGGAACAGGAACCAACTCGGCATCGCGCCATTCCTGCGGAACAGTGGCCGTCGTCCAAGCAAGTTGGACGAGATCCAGCAATGCGTCCAGGGAATCATGGCCACCTGCTTTCACAAGCTCGGGGACTATACGCGAGGAACCTCCAGCTTTGCCATTTGCAAGGTGTCTGATGGCGACGACAAGGTCTTCCATTGTTGGTGTGACTGCCAGAGACTCGTCAGGCTCACGTTGAGGGATGTTAGCAACGGTGGAGGCATTGAAGGTACTGGGGACATTGAGCAAGTTCGAGAAGTGAGTGGACCAGCAGTCTTCCTGCTCCTCCAAAGACGTGCAAACTATGCCCTCAGCATTACGGACCGGATGGATGGTGACGGATCGGAGTCCTGATTAGCACCGTTGAATGTCTCGGATGGCGGACCAAATGTGCTTACCGCTAAATTTGCCACGCTCCACAGTGCTAGCTCTCTGCTCCAACCATGCACTCTTCGCTGCACCAACTGCGGTACGACATCTACCTCGGACATCGAGGAAGCGGCGGTGGTCCGCTGGCAGCTCTGATTGACGCCACTGTTGATGGAGGCGTGTGCGCTCAGCAAAAAGAGGTTGGAGGATGTCTGCTGCTGCTAGGAACCAGTCAGGTTGTAGTCGAACGGGTTTGCCCAGGTGTGCCTCAGCGCTGGAGGTCAAGGCAGATTTGTATGCCGACCACTTGGCATCAACGGTATCAGCTGGCCCAGACGATTGCAGATGGTGTTGCACACCGGAGGCGAATTGGAGCCGAGTAGCCTGCACGGCATTAGATTGTTCGTCGGTCATACCAGGGCGGGTCATGAGAGCTTGGATATTAAAGCGTGAACGCCGTGCTACTCCGGTGCGAAAGTTGACGGTGTACGACAGACAGAACGATAAGCATACAAGATTGTGGTCGGTACTACACTCCGCACTACGGATAACGCGGCAGTCTGTGCAGGCTAGCAGATCTTGCCGCCTGACAATGGCATAATCGATACAGTGCCACTTCTTCGACCGTGGGTGCTGCCATGTATACTTGTGGATACGCTTCTTGGCAAACCAGGTGTTGCACACAGTGAGGCTGTTGCATGTCAAGAACTGGAGCAGTTCCAGTCCAGCGTGGTTCGTTTCCCCTATCCCATTATCTCCACAAGTCCCATACCATGGATCAGCACTCTGGATGAGACCAACCCGTGCATTGAAGTCGCCAAGGATAATCAATTGTTGACTTGGTGGCACTGAGTTTATGCTCGCTTGCAGGGATGCAAAAAATTCATTTTTGGACTCCCTACTTGATCTGAAAGTTGGAGCGTAGCATGCAATCACATTGATCCAGGTGTTTTTGTTTCCGTGGTGGACGAACTTCAACTTGCATTGTGCAATTCTCGACGATACCGCCGTCCATTGGTTTCCTCCTGCCGAGAAAGCGTTCCGTGCACGGCCTCTCAGGACGATGCAGACTCCTTCTCCGCGTTTGAAATTTTCAGATGGTACGGGACGTCCAGACGACAACACGATCGAATCCGCGACATTGTAGATCTCAGCTCCAAACCACTTCGATTCCTGAAGTCCAGCCACTTCGATGTCGAGTCTCTTCAGCTCATTTATGACAGTATTGATCTTCCTGTCCTCCACTACTCTATGTCCAGACGCAGCAGTTTCGATTGGGCCGTCAGCATTCACAAGAGTTCTGACATTCCACGAAGCGAATTTTAGTAGAGAATCGCTTCTGCTGGGGGATCCTGCCTGCGACGACGTCGCCCGTTTTCTGGTTGCTGAAAAGCTGAGGATGGTAGAGGCGACATCCGAGGGGTAGCTAGCCCACTGCGGATGGAGGACGGAGAGCGGCGCGCCAGTGACAATATCAAAATTTAAATTGTCCTGGAAGACGCGCCGTGAGCCTCTCCGACCTGTATTTCTATCTGGACGCCAGGGGCTCTCCTAGCAAGGCTAGGAGAGCCCTGGGGGGCGAGAACTAACTTAGGGAGAGCTTCAAGTAAGTAGAAGACGGGAACTAGACAGAGCCTCAAAAGATCAAACTGACCTCAAGAGACACGCACACACACACACGTACACACACACACACACATGCACACGCACACCATGTACCATGTATACGCTCTTCGCAAGAGAAGCACGTAAATCTGCAAATGCACTGGATGTGCACCCACAGATTTTCTCTTTATAGCAACGATAGCGGATCTGATTCTGATTGAAACAGATCAAGACAAGCACCAGATAACTGTCTAATCCACACAACTGGCGAAGCCATGTGAATCGACCTCCCAATGCACACCTGGTCTCCACCACAAGGAGAACATCAGAATAGGACGGCCAAGACAGTTACCTATGCACACCCTATACTTGCTGGGGTAACCAGTATAGACAGCATGCTGCTTTGATAAAAGCAGACACTAGATGCATTGGTACACACACATCATGATATTTTAACAGTACCACATGAACCAAAGGCTCCCTGGTGTAAGTCTGACGGGAAGGAAGGTAGGAAGGCAGGAAGAAGGAAAAGTACCACCTGGGTGGAATGTCCATCTCCTAACGCTGTTAATTATTAAATGTACAAAACATGGAAGCCATTTCACGAAGGGCACACCGTATTTCCTCGATTAATAGACCCGGTCTTTTGTTTTTTGAAGAGGGTTGGACCCCCGGTCTCTTATTTGGGCATGGTCCATTATTTGAGCATGGTCCACTATATTTTCATCGGCACACCGCTGGAAATGGTGGATTTTTAACACGTCATAATATAGAAGTTCTATATTATGACTTGTTAAAAATCCACCATTTCCAGCGATGTGCCGATGAAAATATAGTGGACCGTGTTCAAATAATGAAAGAAAGCACTAGCCACTACAAAAATTGTAGTTGCGCAACCTAAAATCGCGTCCTTTTTGATCCACCACGTGCTTTCTCAGTGCGCATGCGCAAAGCGATGAACTCAAATAAGAGACCGGGTCTCTTATTCGGGCATGGTCTACTATTTTTCCGTGAGGCCTCTAGGAGGGTCTACTATTTGAGCATGGTCTATTATTCGAGCATGGTCCATTAATCGAGGAAATAGGGTATACGGTGTTCGGAGTGATTGGACAGTGGGTATATACTACTTAAAGAAAGTGCGATGGCGCGCAGGACTAAACCACAGCAGTTCATAATTGATCAGACTCACCTCCAGTTTGATAATAACTTGCTCAATAGTATCCTTGGCACTGTCAGCATTCTGGTCTGTCTCCTCCAGCAGGCCTTCAATCTTATCAATGCTTTCAAGGACATTGGTCTGCAGCTGCTCCAGTTTCTATACAGAGTATAGCAAGAGAGAGAGAGAGAGAGAGAGAGAGAGAGAGAGAGAGAGAGAGAGAGAGAGAGAGAGAGAGAGAGAGAGAGAGAGAGAGAGAGAGAGTGAGAGAGAGAGAGAGAGAGAGAGAGAGATAGATAGATAGAGAGATAGAGAGAGAGAGAAAAAGATAGATAGAGAGATAGATAGATAGATAGATAGATAGATAGAGAGAGAGAGAGAGAGAGAGAGAGAGAGAGAGAGAGAGAGAGAGAGAGAGAGAGAATACAAAGCACAACAATTTACCCCAGGATGAAGGATAGGAGAGGGAAAACATACACTGACACATGCCAATGAACAACAAGAGCACAAGACACAACACCACCATAACGTTGATCATGGCAATAGGAATCCAAACACAAGTCTTACCGCTACAGAAGCTTTCAACCGGTCAGTGCAGGTTGGCAGCGCACATTCCACATCGACAGCAAGTGACTTGCCAGACCTACATGCAACAACACACATTAAATGACTGTGTTAAATTTGCAGGCAAACAAGGTGAATTCATAGCAAAGAAAGTGACAAAGCCCGATTCATACTTCATTTCACATACAGGTAACGCATCGCAATGCCCCTTCGCCGCGAAAACGTTGACTTGGTTTAGATTTATTCGGCGTGCCTGTCGAGGGTAACAGATCTACTGCCATGCAAGTACTTCCTCCGCGTCATTAAAATTGTCGCTTCCCAGAGCGATTTTTCGAATATATTTTGTCCACTCGAAGGGCAAAGAAATCAGCTAGAAATTGAGGCAGAGCATTGTCGACGAACCAAGCTTTAGTTTGTGGCCCCCCGCTTCTCTGCACTTGCAGCTAAGGTTGACGTCTTCATCAGAGTTTGAGACAGACCCTTCAGCACTCAACAATACGCTGAACAAGACGCGCGGTCAAATTCAGGTCAAGAAACTTCATTTTCAAGTGATCCATGCCTCCCGGTGGCAGGCGATGAAGGCAAGCTAGCAATTTTCAAGTACACTGTAACGACCTTCAAGGCGGGATAGGGTAAGCAGTTTCGCACCTTCTTTCCTTGGCAAGCGCTTCGCTGATTTTGTTGGTGTTTTCAGACCTGCTACCTTCGCAGCCACATGCGCCACAAGTAGCCCATTTTAGGAATTTGAGACCGCTTTGTTCTTGCCATCGTCAACTTCAGCATTTCGTATTCAGGAAAGATACCAGGATTCTTATACCCGAGCGTGCAGTCTTGATATATGCCCACGCGAACGATGTGGGACGGCACAAACTCCAGAAAACGAAATGCGCTCTGGGGCGGAATAGTGCGGAGCGCGATGGATTTGCTTGGTGCGGAAGAGAGCTCCGACAAAGTCCGAGACCACCACGGCTTCAGTGACAAGTAGACATTGCGCAGGAAGGGTCGCACCAGTGTTCGAACACAGAAAACAGCGATTCCGACAGTCTGACTAAGACGAGCCAAGTCTCAAATATTGCGATGTGCGAAGCGACAATTTTAATGATGCGGAGGAAGTAGCTTTTATACAGGACATGTATGCCATCCCATCAGCATTGCACTACTCACCCAGTGATCAGTGAGAAGCAGGTTAGGCACAGTAGCTGATTCGTTTCCGTGGTATACATCACATACTCTCGATTGTGAGCGGCTGCAGAACACGACACAAAGTACAGATACACAGATATGCATGTCTTTTACACGTGTGCTCGCCATGTTGCAACATGATCACAGTGTATCGGTATGCACCATGAACTCAATGTTTATCATGCTCCTCTCAGCATGTTA